TGGGTCTGCCCCGGGGCCCCCCCGGGGATGTACAGTGGCCGCCCCAGGGCTGTACCGGGGCTGCCCTGGGGTCGCCACGGGGCTGCACCGGGGCTGCCCTGGGGTCGCCAAGATAAAGGATGATTTTCTCTTCCTTCCCTATCCAGTATTGGCGCCACACACAAGGGATAGAAACCCTACATGGCCGGCCACTTAAGGGATAAGGTGTAGGAGATTTTTTGTTCCAAATTCAAATAGGAGATAGAGATTTAATTCCTTTTTGAAGTTTGACTTATACTCTTTAAATATGAGAATGATAGAAAACTGTGTAGACAATTTTTGAAAACAATTTTCTGCCCTAATTATTGAGCGTGGCCGAAATTTCTCATAGGGAAAAGAGAGGAAAATGTTTTCTCCAAAAAAGCGTTGGTGTTTGTGGAAATTCGAGTGTTATTGAAACCTGTTTTGTGTCACGTGTGCCCACACACACGTCTACGTGGAATCAATGAATTGACGTGGAAGACTTTGGTTTTCTAAACACAAAGCTTGGAGCAAGGATTGTTCGAGGTCAAAGAATTCAAGTTATCGACCTAATCGGCGCTAGGTATTATTCTTAATTGACTTCTTAATATATGAATTAATGAGATTAATTTATTCGTGCATAAATTAATATAATCTATAGAGTATCTTAAAGATTTTATGAAAATCTTTGTTATACACGATCCGCCTACCGCCACTCTTCCGCGTCCGAATTCGATTCGGCAACCAACAGGATGATCGGATCCTCACGCCCCAACAATGATTCAAAGAGAGTAAAGGAAATGTTTTTCTAGAATTTTCTAACAATTGAGATCGTTTAATGTTTTAATTTAATTTTAAAATCAATTATTTTTCTCTCTTTTTTATTTTTCAAATATTTAAGCAGTTTTATATGTTTAATTAGAATTTAGTGGTTTAAATTAATGTTTAATGATTGCCACGTCAGAAATCCGTTAGGATTATAGACGGATTTGAACAAAAGGAGTAGTTTGATCTGTTTTCTATAGATCGAGAGGTGTTTTGAATCATTTTAAAAAATTAAGGGGCACTTTGAAATAAGGTACATAATTTGAGGGTATTTATGAAAATAATCTAAAAAACTATTAAAATAAAACAAAATTACATCAACACCTCTAAACTTTTAATAATAGGCTTTTTTATACCGGTGCCTCTTAACTTTTCTATTTAGTAATTTGGTCCATTTTATTTTTATTTTTTATACAATTTTGATCACTTGAAGCACACATGAACATCCATTGAGGGTAATAAAGGTCACCTCTCTTGGAGTGTCTAAATAGGAAATAACCCATGTTAAACTAAGAGTTATTTATCATAACTGATTGTGTTCAGACACATTAAATGACTATAATATCAATAACTAAACAAATAGGATGAGAAATGACTTTCATTGCCTTCAACAATACTCATGCAAGAGTTACAACTTATGTGATCAAAATCGTTAAAAAAAATTGTTTTCTATTAGGTCTTAATTGTAAAAATTTTAGGTTAAAGGAGCCAATTACCAGAAAAAGAAGAATAATGAGTAAATTGTTAAATTTAAAAAGTCAAAGAGTGTCTATAAAAAAAGCCTTATTAGTATCACAATCACACCTCTAGTTCAATTGCAGTGACATTTTCTTTGACTAACATTGTTGAGATTTCAATAAAAAAGCGAACTAAATGAAAGAAATTGAAGCCCTAATCGACTTTGTTTGTTTCGCAGGTTTAAATGACAATTTAAACTTTTACTATAATATTTTTTTTAATTTTGTGTTTAAATTTATGAATCAACCATATCTCTAAATTGTTGAAAGTGTTAGTCAGGAAAAATGATGTCACTAAATTATCAACAAAAATTAGGGTTACTACTATAATTGTGAGGAGCTTTGATCCCTTAATTCCTTTTTAGGATGGTATTTGTTAATTTAACATTTATTATATTTTAATAATTAGAGCTTTTAAATTGATTAAATTGTGAGGAGTTTTTTGTTACAGGCATAGCTTAACGATTATTTCACATCTAACTCCACTATAAGGTGGAGAGTTCAAATCTCTCACCCTCTAAATTAAAAAAAAAAAGAGGAGTTTTTCTAATAAAACTAGTTTCTGATTGTTGGGTATGATTAAAATCACATCTAATTGAAAAAGTCACTATAACTTTTCGGTAGTTCATTTTTTTAGAACTTACCAGAGAAACCCCTAAATTCTAGGGAGTTTGTAAATTTAGGGCATGTTTACTTTGTATCAAAGGGAAAGGAAGGATTAATTCCCTCTTTTTTAATAATGTGTTTACTTAAAAATCAATAATGAAAATTTAGTGGCCCCACACAATATAGGGATTGTCAATCCTTACATCTTTTTACTATTGATTCATTGTCAAAGAAAATGAATTCTTAATTTAATTATCTACCTTTAATGAATTATTATATAATCAAATGATTATTTAATTGTGTAAATAGACTTTCTAATAATTACATTGATAATATTGCTAGTCCTAATTTTAATAAACACTAGAAAGAGAATAAGATTATTTTCTATTACACCATCTAATAATCATGTAAACACTTGAAAACAAATCAATGACCCTTAATCCTTCTTTCTAATCTCATTATCTTTCTCATTACATTCCTTTATGTTTGGTAAACGCGCCCTTGGTGTCACATTAGCTTTTTCATTCATCGATAGATTGAACAAAGTTGCCAACAGTTTTAAGTTCAGTAAAAGAGCGTTGGGTTTTTGAGACTTAGGAGAAATTATAAAGTGATAAAATTATTTTGGTACATTCTGCTATAGTTAAACATCTTACTAGTATCCTGTATTTTTAATAACATTAAAACGATACATTAACCTTTAAAGAAATGTTCTTTTGATACACTGAAACTGATTTTTAAGATATAAAATGTTCAATTTACCATTCTCACTAACTAACAATAAACTAATAATTTTTTAGAATAAATTAAAATGTTTTTAGAAAATATTTTTAAAATTATTAATTTCCATTTAATTAATGAAAAAGACAGTTTGGACATTATATGTCCTAAAAATCTGTCTTAGATTAAAAAAAAAATATTTCTTTAAAGACGAATGTATCGTTTTAACATCATTAAAAACACAGCAGTTTGGACATTATATGTCCTAAAAATCTGTCTTAGATTAAAAAAAAAAATGTTTCTTTAAAGACGAATGTATCGTTTTAACATCATTAAAAACACATAATACCAATGAGATATTTCACTGTAACAGAAGTTACCAAAATGATTTTATTGTTATTATAAAATATAATTAAAAAAAACTACTAATAATGTAATGTAAATCATACTTGCAGAGACAGCTAATATATTAGTTAAGAATTGTTATAGAAAAAAATAGCGATTAAGTCTTAAGACTCTTAACAAAAGGTTGCGTTTGGTGGGCAACAAGGCCTAGCACCTTGATATGACTCAGCCTACCACACATTGTAAATAATTGCCTATCGCCCATATACTGCCCTAAAAGTAGGAAGAAGTTAAAGAGACGAGGCAACGGCATTATGGTAAGGGTATTAACCCACTGACCTTATATACTCTTTTGTTCACTTTCAAATGCCAGCACAACTAAGTGTGTGGCAAATTAATCCAAGTTTTCATGCCAATTCTTGTATACCAACTATTGGTTTTCCTGTTTGGTTTAAGCCAACATGACTGCACCAGAATAGCTTTTGAGTACTTTCATTTGGAAGCCAGTGTCCAGAAATTGAAAAGAAACGATGGCGAACCAGCAAACCAACTCAGAAAAGCCATAGCGGTAGCTGTCTGAAACCTAGTGCAGTGGTTTTCTGTGCAGTCATTCAGATCATTGCCTATGAGAACTGTGATACCAGCGGATGCACAAGCTGCAGAAAATATGAGTGTTGAAGTGATCTGCGATAAAGGGATAAAAAAGTGTAAGAAACATAATTTGAAGTCCAATTGTTTCAGAGAAGCAAAGGGTGACAAACAGGTTATAAAATGTTCTTGTTCGTGAATCTTAAACGAGACTGCTTTGCATACCAATGGCCAAAAGAATGGTTCGTAACTTGCATTCTATTTAGGAACTCAGACTTGGAACCAAATAATAACCTAATCATTTTCAGGGCATTTACCTAAATGTAAAGGAATGTAATGAGAAAAGTTGCAAAGGTAATGAGATCCAAAAGGAACGTGAAAAAATAAGAATAAGGATTATTACTTCCCTTTCTAGGATTATTGCTAATAGTCAGGCCTTAAACGATTCTGAGGGTGCTAATAGTTCTTATAAAGGTTTATTTTCTTCAAGAGGATGGAAAATAATGAGATTTTTTTTTTCTCCTCCAAAACCAAAATAAAACAAGGTTCCATTGTTTCCCTTCAAAACCCTTTGATTCTGATCAACATACACTGGCAGTTTCACAAACAACCATTTGAAAAATATATGTGCTTGGGCATGTAATAAGCCATGAATAGATTGATGCTCCAACTTTCATGCTTTCTTCTACCAAACCAAGATGGGCATATACTAATTAAGATCTGTAGAAGAAACACCTTCTGATCTCTGGAGGGTGGTTTAGCACCCATAGAAGACAAATGACAATTCCCAACAAAAGGAAAGCCAAGCCCATCCAGATTCTCACTGGTTAGTATCTCAAATATGGAGGCTTTACAATAGAAAAATCCAGCAGATACTTTGCTCAAATGGCTTTAAAATGTTTTCAGTTGCACTATCACAAACTTTAATCCAATTATCCAACAAATAATGGAACACCAAAGAAATTGAATAAACGGAAAAACGTTTAATCATTCCTTTTACTTGGACCTATGTCTGCAGAAAGAGGTCCTGAATTTAGCAGTGTTCCACAAAGTCAATATTTATAATTCCAGAGTTTAGATTACCATAAAACATTGATTATCTGAGTGCCAATCAAATAACTCTTTAGGATCAAATACAGAGTTAACTTAATAGACTATGCAAAATTAAAAAATAAAAATAAACAAATAAACACAAAAGAAATCAAAACAATATCCTTCAATCAAATATCAGCATTTTTTTTTTCAATTATGAAATTGCGAAATAACATTTTTCTTACCCCATCACCGACAGCAAACAAGGTGGCAACTCTGAAATTGCGAAGGCTTCGCTTAACCAAAATGGCATAAACATCAACAATCGCAAGAGACAGACTCCATATGCTTTGCAAGCTCGAAGCAACAACAAGGTAGCTGCCATATCAGGAACAAAATAAAAGAAAATTACTTATTCTTCAAAAACTCAAATTCTGAAACTAAAGAAAGAGAAAATTGGGATTAGGTTACCGGAAGGCGGTGACGGAAGGGAAGTCGGAGGTGGAGGCCATGACGGAGAGAGCGACGGCGGAGAAAGCGAACTGGAAGAGGCGCAAGGCGAGGCCGGAGGGAGTGCCGGGCATGCCCTGGACGTCCTTCATCCGTCCACGCGGCATCGGATTCTCCTCCGCCGCCGCCGCCGCCGCATCGGTCGCCGGAGGAGGCACCGCATCCACTGGGTGAACTGAAGGGTGGCTCGCGCTCATTTCTTCTTCTTTAAGGAATTCCTTCGCCGTCTCTCATTAGAGAAGAAGAGCGAGATTGTTCGTCGGAACAACTATAGCTGAACCCATTTTTCTCGCCTCTAACTTCTTGTTCCCTTTTGCTTCCTCTTCCCTCAAAACAAAAAAGAACGTTCTACTCTCTTTTTCTTTTTCATATTTCAATTATTATTATTGATATTATTATTATTATTTCCTATATTTCGTGGGTATTTCTCCTTTTGGAGATATTATATGGAAATTTATTTAAAATGAAGGTAGGCACATATATGAAAGTTAAAAACTTAAAAATTAACCCTCGATTATGCATGTTAATATGAAGTCTGATGCGGAAGTAGAAAAAGAAATGTCCTTATAAAGAAATAAACAAAAAAAAAAAGAATAATGTCCTTAGGATTTTAAATTTTAAATTTATTTTTCAGTTTTTGGATTGAATTTTAAGAATTTAATTTCTTATAGTTGAAGTTTTGGATTATGATATCATAAAGATAATTTTTATGTAATTTTTATTATTTTTATGCCGAGGTTTGCTCAACAGTCAACTTAAAATAAAAAAAAATAAAAAACATGTAACATAAGCGAGGTCAAACCGAAACTTAACAGACCCATATATCCATCCTCGCTACTCTCCAACTACTCTCACACTCAACAAAAAAAAATGAGTCGGAGGTCTCAACCCCAATCCTCTTCTTCCTCGGAATCTCCGAATCAGCCGGAGAGTCAACGCGGTGGCCGCGAATTCAACGTCCGTCCAGACGTTCGACCAAAAGCCCCACAGAGGTCGCGTTTCGTGTTTCAGGCCCTGTTCGTGTTGATCGTCTACTCCTCCTGGACCGTTTACTATTACCAGTATCAGAACTTGCCTTCGCCTCTCACTTCCGAGCAAGCCGGCAAAAGGGGTTTCTCTGAAATCCAAGCTCTTAAGCATGTCGAGGCTTTGACTCAATTGGGTCCTCATTCCGTTGGCTCCGATGCTCTTGTTCTTGCTCTTCAGGTTTGGCTTCTCTTGGATTTTCTTTTCTGGGGTGTTTTTATTTTTCAAATTTTTGTACAGAAGTTTATGCAGAAATTTGAATTTTTTTGAGAGAAAATACTGTAGTGAAAAAGTTTGACTTGTGGAGTTTTTTGGACGTTTATTTTGTTATTTGAGTTTTTAATTCGAATTGATATGTAATTTTATATAAAAAGTAAGATGTGACTGTTTTGGAGAGTTTTTAACTGTAGTAAAATTCAAATTCTAAACTCGAATCGGTAAAATTAACGTAGCATGTTTGTGTTTTGCGTCTCCAATTGTGAA